TGTAAAAGCTACAGGTAGATGAATCTGTTCTTGAGTATGTAGAAAAAAGAAATAAACATTACAAAACAAAAAAAAAACTGCACATAAAATATATATTTTGCATCAATCCTGCAGGTTACATGGAGCAGTCAGTTTCATATTCTCATCAGAAACATTAAAAAAGTCAACATTTGGGGGAAAAATGGAATTTGAAATCAACTTTCAAAGAAAGAAAGAAAGAAACAAAAAATAATCACACAAAGAAAAAACTAATAAAGGGTAATTACATATATAGGATTTATTTTTATTTTTATTTATTTTTTGTTCTTAGGTGAACTTTGATATTTTTCCTGATAGTCAGCTGATGATTTATTTTGTTTGTTGAAGTATTTTACTATTTGATGAATTAGGCACAGACAAAAAAGGGACCCATAGACTAAACAATCATAATGTAGATTAATGTACAATATGCATGAGGATGTTTTGTCTTTAAGTGTTCAAAAGATTTGTAAAAGAAAAATCAGGCTTTTTTTTTTTTCTCCTGAGTTTTGTAAAGTAGCTGTCTGAAGAATCTGCACACTGATTATTTTTCTATTGTGCTACATCTACCGTATTTTCCGGATTATACGTCTCTCCGGTGTATAGGTCGCATCAGTCAAAAAAATGCCTCACTACAAGGAAATAAACATATATAAGTGACTTCGGAGTATAAGTCACATTTATTTAGACGTGTATTTCACAAAGTGCAAGAACAGACATTTTATCTGAAATCATGGGCGTCAGAAGCATCTGTAACGTGTGGGGGGGGGGACTAGTGTGCGTGTGTGTGTGTGTGTGTGCGCGCGCACAAAAAATTGTACTCTAGTTCACAAAAAAGCACATTTCATCTAGATTTTCTTACTTTAATTCCACTTAAAGCATGTTTCTCACCAAGTTTGTGTAAATTCATCTGTGGGTTTAAAAGACATTTTAACTTTAACACACAACATCAGGTTGGCACTATTTGTGTTTATAGGGAAATAAAAAACATCACCACTAAATTTTTTTACTTGTGTTCAACACTACTCAACTAAATGATGTTTCTCATGAAGCTTGAGGACAATAAGGTGTGGGGTTTTACAAACATTTCAACTTTAATGCACCTGAACACACAGAATCTCTTACACCTGCAGAGTCTTACAACATCACAATTACTGCTAAGCTGAGATGCTACAGACGTAGCGCTCCTCTCAAGCATCCTCCTAACATGAATATATGTTTATGATCAACCCCCCCAGTCAACAACTGCTAGCACTAAGCTGCTAAACTGGCGAGCAACCCAGAAGTGTCTCCATCTCCTCCACCTATGCGTGTTTTCTGCAGAGGCAGGACGAGACGCACTGAAGCATTGCAGGTTGGCGGAGGTAACCAGGAAAACCTGGAGTGGATTTTTAGTTGTTTGAGTATTCTATTAATCAAGTGGAACGGATTCATTCACAAAGAAAGATAAACTGCGCTGACTGAACTAATGTTTCATAGTAAAAGTGTGTGTGTGTGTGTGTGTGTGTGTGTGTGTGTGTGTGGGGGGGGGGGGGGGGGTGGCCAAATGAACACATTTTTTTATGTGGGGGGGGACACGTCCCCTTCACATATAATGGTTGCGACGCCTATGTCTGAAATAACAATAACACACAGAACGTACCTGGGATCCTGAACAGGCTTAATTAACACAACAAGCCAACGAGTCCGACAAGCAAGTTACCGGTAAATTCACCAATCTCATTCAACTTCACTGAATCCATTGAATTCTTCATCCTCGGTGTCGCTTCTGAACAACTCCGCCTACTCCGGAGGAAGATTGGGGGGGGCAGTGGTAGAGGAACAACGTATAGTTGTCAAAGCCTAGAGGGCCGTCTTGCAGCTGCAAATGGTAATGTTTACTCTTTGGTTCATGTCAGTATGAATTAACATTTAGCATGTCAGTCAAAAATTGTGTCATGAATATGGGAGAAACAAAAAAAAAGCTTTGGGTTATACGTCACAGGACCGGCCAAACTATGAAAAAAGACAACAAAGTCCATGCTCAATAATCCAGGTACACAATCCAACATTTTTCAGTCAGGTCATTTGGACAGTTTCTTTTTTTTTGTGCTGAAACGTTTTACCTTCGGTCCGGAAGGCTTCATCAAAGACTTTGTTGTTTTCAACCAGTTTGACAAGACTGTCAACAAGGAAGAGGGCCGGCAATGGAGGAGGGGGCGTACCAAAGAGACCATCTTATCACAAGCAGAACTGGTTTGTTCCACTTTGGAGTAAGCTGTTGGGAGAAGAATCAGTTTTGTTGTGTGTTTCCTTGACTGATGAAGCCTTCCGGACTGAAGGCAAACAGTTCAGCACAAAAAAAAGAAACTGTCCAGATGACCTGATTGAAAAATATGAAAAAAGAGCGACTTATAATCCAGAAAATACAGTAATAAGCAAAACTAAAATGACAAAGGAGGCAGTTTTTTTTTTATTCAATGCTCTGTCTTGTCTGCCAGCACAGGTCTCTCATGTAAATGAGTCCTTGAGGCTCAATGGGACTAACCTGTATAAATAAAGGATGAATATGGCTCCTTGTTCAGGTGGTAATCGAGGTCTTTCTGTGTAAAGTTTCGGAGTTCTTTTTAACTTCCACAATTGGTGCCCTAAACTACAAAGCAAGCGCAACTTACTTTCTTTAAGAGATCTGAGAAAGTGTACTCAGTGGTACTACAGTACAACTACAGTACATATCAACTCTGGAAGTAATTCCAGGATTTCTGACTGTGGTTTCACATGAAACAGGAGAGTTGCATCAAAGAACAAATCAGTCATGAAGCTAGAAAGAGATCTGAAAAATAAAAAGACTGATGCACACACACGTTATTATCCTTACTAGTACTGCTGCTACATCATTAAAACACGAGAAGATCTAACCAAAAGCTACTATTTTATTTTTATTGTTGTGCTGCTGGTGCTGTCTTTTATTGAGACATGAAAGTTTGAACTTTATTCTATTTTTAATACTCCTGATTTTAATGAGTAATTCTCAAACATTTTATAAGATCTTTGTGGAGTTGAATGCACTGACTGGCAGTTTATTGAACATGAAGCGCTTCACCCTCAGACGCTCTCATTTGTATGATCAGACCGCGAGAGATCTTTTGTAGTTTTGACGGCTTTATTTTGAAAAGGTTTCTGATTTTAAAACCGTTTTTAAGAACAAACTTTAGATTGGTCATCTGCTGTTTAATGCACTACAAGTATTCAAATCTGCTATAGGTGTCCGTCACAAACTGGTTTCTCAAAGTCAAATATAACTGTGGGACCACGGAGAGAAAACAAACAAACAAGTTATATCTCTGTTAAGCACAAACAGTTTGTATTGAGACGAAATACATTAACCGAGGTGATTGCCTAGCCTGCTCTGCAGGTGAGGATTTCAGCACAGGTTGCTGCAGTAACAGACCAAGATAAAAAATAAAAATAAATCAGCTGTATGACAATAAAGTCTTAAACCTGACTTTGCTGAGCTACTAATCCTGCTTTGTAGTAAAGGGCAAAGAACAAGTGGCGAGCTGAGGACCTGAATGCAGATAATTGTCCAGAGACAAGAGTACAAAAGTGAAACCACTCTTTAAAAAGAAAGGCTGCAAAAATTGAACAAGCATAACAAAATAATAAACAAACAAACAAACATTAAGGAACTCACAACTTAAGTATGGAAAACGGGCTGCAAATACATGGTAAGAAACAGAAACAGGTGTGCTGATTAAAAATAAATTTCATGTGTTAGACATGGGAAACAATCCTACATAATAAAACATAACAACAAATAAAACTCCTTAAAGGTTTTTATCAAGCTGCTTGGATTTTAACCCAAAGATGATAACTATGCTGTTAAATTGGCTGCAAGATAAAAACTGAAGCTGCACGCCATGTTTTAAAGATACCTTTGCATTGTAAGAAAATAACGGTTCAAGAAGAAGTTGCCAGGGCAGCCTCTGAAATCAAGTAAAAACAGCTTCACAAAGAATGAAAAATACAAAAAGAGTTTCTCTGAAAAACTGAAACTTAGGTTAAAACTTCCCTAAAACTCTTTATGACAAATTTGATTTTATGAAGAGGTTTTTTTTTTTTTAATTGAAAACAGTTGTCCGGTAGTTTACAGAGTTTATTTTACAAAGTATAAAAACCTCCTCTGCCTGTGACTTTTCTATCAGTAACAATGTTGTGTTACTTCTTCTGGAAAGTGAAGTTTGGCTTCTTTAACTTGTGCATGTGCAAAACATTTTTTTGCTAGATATTTATTAGATGCATCTTGTTGGAAAACAATCCACATTTTGAATAAAAATTGATTTCAGCGTTTGTTAACATAAAATAATTAACCCATGGTACTGCATTATTTGATGCTGTTGTTCATGTGTATTATGTTATGATTAGATTTACCTTCCTTGGTGGAAGGAAATATAAAAATACTATGACTGAAAAAGGCATGATTTGTTATAAGGTTTTAGCTGCTTCTCATTTTTAAACAGGAATGTCATGAGTTTTAGTTTTAAAAGCAGTTATGTGACATTTGCTAATCTAAAAGGAAAAAAGAAACAATTTTAAATGATAAAGTAAAATAAAATTCTCCAACGAAAAGAAAAGACAGATGGGTTTCCACTCACTTCCTTTCACTGACACAAAAATACACAAAGAAATATCTCAGTTTCTTGTACAGTTGTCTTGAGTTATAGTTCTAAACATAAAGTTGAAATTAAAATAAAAACGATAAACATGTTTAGAGTGAAAAACTAAAACTTTCGTAGTTTCTTAGAAAAGCTTTTGTTCCCCAAAGAGTGATGTGAAAAAACAACTTCATCACAAAAACGCCATGATGCCACTGTTAAAGTTATTTTTAAAAACTTTGTTGTTTTAGTTACAAAGTGTGAAAAGTATTTCTATTGTCCTTTTAAAAATGCCACATTTAACGAGGCGAGTATATCATACCACATGGGGTAGCTTGTGTGTCTGTTTTATACAGTCGTGACAGAAAGAAAGGCGTTGTGCACCTTTGCCCCCTCGGGGGCTTTAGTACCGTGAGTCATCAGCTCCTGAATCGTCATCCAATTATCCAGAATTTTCTTATTGCGCTTCTTTAACATCTTCTTGTGGCTGAGCTCGATGATGCTGACTTCCTTACGGCCCTCGCTGCTGCTCTGAGGGTTCTCCTTCAAACTTTCCAGCCGACTGCGCTGCATGAACTCTCGTCTCCTCTTCTGTTCTTTTGCCCTGACCAGGTGCTGTTTCCTCTCCTCTTTGCTCCAGTACCTCCCCATCTTCATTTCACTCATTGCATCATCATCCGTGGTCATTCCCCCACTTCGCTCCTCTTTAATCTTTAAGGCTCGCTCCCTCAGGATCTTGTCTCTCACGGGCCTCTTGGTGATGTAGCGGGTGCCGTCGCTGCGGATCTTGACCTTCCACTCCATCTTGGGCTCGTTACTAGGTCTCTGAGGCTCTTTGCAGACACTAAGCAGGCTGAGCTGGCTCTGAGCGTACTCCACAGCTGAGTGCTGCTGGATCAGCTGCATGTAGCTCTGATAGTGGCGGGCGTGAGCTGGAATGTTGGCCTGCCTCTGCTGGGAATTGTGGGAAGGAGAGAAGTAGGGGATACGAGAAGTGCATTGCTTTAATTTACCCTCGCTGTCCTTCTCGGCCTGAGGAGTTTCATCGGTTTCAGAGGCATTGCTGTGGTCAGGGCTGCTGCCTTTGCCTGGGACTGGGGCACGGCAGGCTGGGATGGGGCTTGGGCTCAGTGAGTGACCAGCAGCAAGACCACTGCAGAGGTTCCTCTGGTTGGTGAGGCTCACCACTCTCTGCAGTGAGTGTTCTGGGGAGCGGTCCATTGCCAAAGGGGTGCTTCGTGAACTCTCTGCAGTGTTGTAAGCACTGGAACTGTCCTTGTCAGACTTCTCCAGCCTCCCATTTATATCTACCAGCTTACCTTTGGTGGACTCTCCACGATTGGGGCTTTGATTTTTGACAGAGGGAGCAGAACGTTCAGTTAAAGGAGACTGCTGACCCTTCCGAAGCTTGTGGGCCTGCATGATGTTTTGACACTCGAGCTCAATGCTGCGCAGCTCCTCGTTGAGCATCTGTAGTTCATGCTGTACGTCGTTCTGCTCTGCCATGTTACACTCGATGGTGCTGCGGCGGCTGTAGAACAGGTCATACTCACCGCTGTTACGTATCTGACACTTCAGCTCCAAGAGCTGCTGGAAACGATCACCCTCGGTCTCATCAATGTCCTCATCCTCTCTGTCCTCCAGCCGAGTGCTACTAGTGCTACAGCGTGTGTCCTGACTGTCTCTCAGGCATCGAGAAAGACGTCTTTGGATTTTGGCCAAGACATTATGGTCTGAGCTGTCCATTCTGTCTTTTAGACTTCGCACGCTGTCCTTATAGTAAGGAAGAGTTGAACAGGTGGGCCTGTCGTCGTCTTCTCTCTGAAATAAATAAAAAAACACTTTAATATTGACACTTGTAGCTAAAGTCTACATGAAATGTTTTACACATGTATTGAAAGTGACACTGCAAAGGTTTGTAGAGCCACGGGCCAAAAATAACTTCTGAATCATTCTGATCTTTATGCCCTGAAGTGAATTAAAATATGAAATGATTTTGATCTAAAATATACTTCAAAATATAGAAAACCAATATGATGCATCAGCTTTTTCAAAGTCCAACAATGTTCAGTCTGGTCATCTGCACAGTTCCTTTTCATTGAGAGACATTTCGCCATCCATCCAAAGGGCTTCATCAGTCTGAGGAGTCACATACAAACTGTTTCCCCCCAAGCAGTACACTCCTACAGTGGACCAACCAGTTTGCTGGTGATAAGATGGTTTCTGGGTGCTGTCCTCTCCCCCGTCGACTCCTCTCCTCCCAGGCAACCACAGCCAAAGTGGGAGGAGTTAAAAATGTGAATTTAGATTCATTTTACATTTTAAACAGCTCATTTTTCAAAAACAAAATTTATGGATATATTGCATTATGGAATGTAAATGATTATTAGTAAGGTACATATAATTATTGTGTTTTCAATAAAACTTTAATGTCAATTTTACATATTTTATATACACATAATTTTATAAAAAATAATATAAATAGTTAATTATTAACTATTTATTAATATTATTAATATTTTAATATTCCATAAATGTATAAATTTTAGAATGTTTTGTGTAATATATTTAGAACTATATACTCTTGTTTTGATGAGGATTTAAATACAAAAAGTAACTCACTATACTGTATAAAAACTGCAAAAAGGTAAACTAAATTGTGCACTCTCACAAAGAAAGAAGTTATGTTTAGTGTAAATCTTTTGTTATTTTAGGCGCCATGTTATTTCTGCTCCGCTTTTTTAAACGATGTATTGTAGGTTGTTGTGGTACTTTCTAATGATAGCAAAAGATTCTTTTAAGTTAGGATTTATCCCGTTGGGAAATAAAACAGTTCAATAGTTTTGGTCTAAATATTACAGTGGCCCTGAGGTGTAAATGAACAACTTTTGAAAAAACAGAATTACATTTCAAAAAATGCACAAAAAAAAACAAAAAAAACACATCAACATTAGGAAAAAACGGTGTTACATTAGAGAAAACAGAATTACATTGAGCCAAAGCAGAAGTGGCCGGAATCACACTTGAAAAAAATCAGAATTACATTTGAAAAAAACAATTACCTTGAAGATCCTGCTAAGTTTTCCAATGTCATATCTTCTTCTTTAAGCTCGAACAAAACAGGCTAAAGGCTAGACTGCTAACTGTACCTCTGTTGTGTGTGTACTGTACATTGTTTTGTTTTACGTTGTTAATAAAGTAAAAAAATATATATACACACACACAAATAAATAAATAAAACCATCACTCCCAGTTTGGCCAAATGTAATTCTGTTTTTTCAAATGTTGTTCATTTACACCCCAGGGCTGTCGTAAAATTTTTATCCACATTAATGTTTGGATTATTGAGTATGCATCAGGGCATTTATCCACATATATAATGTTATTTATTTTAATTCACTGGAGAAAGGCTATTACTCAGCACTGCATACAAGTCAATATATGGTTTAATGTTATATTTTGTATTTGCAAAAGTTTATTTTGGCTACAACTGCTTCTGAAACTGACAACTCTTCCTCTATGATATTTTTCATCACTGATTTATGTTCTTCACTTTTTGAAGTTTCTTCATTCTGATAAACAGTCTAAAGAAATACTTTAGGTGTAAATGCAGATAAGATATTTAGAACCTGCTGCTTCTCCTGCTCCTCTTGTAAGACAGCTAACTCCATCTCCTCTCTCTGCTGCTCCTCCAACATTTCCATCTTCAGCTGCTCCAGGAACTCACTGTGTTCATCGTCCAGCCAGGCCTCCTCCAGCTGACAACAGAACAGATGGAACAGGGATAAACATGGAGAGAAGAAACAGTCAATGTGTTTTTTTTTCATAGCTCAGACAACACAATGTATTAAAACAGGTTTTTTTCCCCCAAATTAATGTACAAATAGGGTTTCTCCAATAATTTCTCTGCTTAGTTTTAAAAGAAGAAACTGCAAGTTTCTGAGAGACAGCTCTTGTTCTTTGAGACCAACAAAACTGCCAATTTTAAATCAGACCTTTCTAGTTAGCATTCATACAATCACTCTGTTCCTTCTCCCATTTATCAGTCTGTTTGATACGAACCAAATGGCATCCGCACCTGATGACTTCACATTTAAAAGGCCCGTTTAATTAGAAAACGCCTACAACTGCTTCCTGCTCATCTGCACTGCGGCAGAGTCCTTCCACTTCCTCGTCGTTGGCCTCAGGCTTGAACTCACTCCACATTACCATGCCATTAGCTTTTATGGCTTAGCATTGGAAGTCAATTACAGTGGTGCAACATAAAAATAAAACATGATGAGGAGTTTCAGTGGGGGCTCCCACCAGGAGAGGCTGTTTTCAGTGGGTGGGGAGTGGTCACCCACTCCAAGAATGCTGATGGTTTCTTCTGAGCAAAAGTTCTGCTAAGAGCAAACCTTCAGAATCAATTATCACCTGCTGCTCAAGTCAGGGGATAACGTTTTTGTTGTGACTGTGCGTTTGTCTCTGTTAGTAAAATTTCTCATAAGCCACTAGACAGATTTTATAGAAACCCAGAAAGTAATTGCTGGATGTAAATCTAGAACTACTTAACTTCTGAAGTCAACCCAATTCAAGATGGCTGCTATAGCTGACTGACCTGCGTCATCGTAAAAATGACTGTAACATGATCCTACAGCATTTTAAAACTCTAGCATGAGAGGCTGAGGGTGATATTCTTTCAATGACTGTCAGGCCTTCATCATATTTTAGTCTGCACTTTAAACAGTTTGTCAGTTTGATGCACGGGTGTGGAGGTTTTATTTCTAACCTGCATCTCAGGTCTCGCAACCAGTAGTATGATTTTCCTGCAGTCATCACTGGACAGTGCAGCCATCGCTTCTTCTCTGTCTTGTACATCTTGGCCATTAATCTGAAAATAAATACATAAATAAATAAATACAGCATGTTTACTACACAAATAATTAAAGCAATGCTCTTTTTAAACTTAGTTCTGTGGAAAGGTTAATAACAATTAACATTATATCTGTTGGAGAAATAGAGTTTATTAATAAGCATAAACAGACTAAGGACTAAAGTGAGGTCAGACCAAGGTGGATTGCTTCCATCTTCACACAACTCAAATGTGAAAGATGTCAGACAGGTTCACGCCAATGCTATTTTATGAACGTTCACATCATTGTTGATGTGTCATTGTTCTGGGCGCATGTTTAAATTGAATTCAGTGCTTATTGTAAGTTCAAATGGTGGCAGCAGCAGCTAGCTGTAGCACCACTACACTGGCCTGGGGCACCTCTACTGTTTATCAGATTTGTGCATTTTGGCAGTGGAGGAGAAAGTACTCAAACACTGCACTTAAATAAAAGTACAAACAAACAGACAAAAATGTACTCTAGTAAAAGTAGAAGTACCACATTGATGTTTTTACTTAAGTAAAAGTAAGTAAGTACTTGCTTTTCAAAATACTTAAAGTGTTAAAAGTAAAAGTATTTGATGAATATATTATCTAATGCAATGGTGCCTACTGTATGTATTTTCTGTAATACATGAATAGTGTTGTGTCATTTTAATGAACGATGCTGCAGATAATACATGTTTTTATTGTGTTTACTCTGTGACACAGTTCACACTTGGACTTGTGATTCTGTGCGTCAGAATTTCAGGGATGACCTGCAGAGTTAAATGACATTAAGCAAAATAAGAAAGAGGAATGATTATACCTTTGAAAGTTTTTATTTAACACAAAGCAAAACCAATGTGTCATTTTAACTGCAGTAAACACATTTAAGTAAAAGTTGTCTGCCTGAACAAAAGGAGCATTAGACACAAAAGAACATCTGATCATTTCAACTCCAGTTTGTCATCAACTCTAGTTTAAATATTGTCTAGTCGACCTTGTAATGGGTCAATAATGAACAATATTTGAACTTCCTGACACTATTTTTAAAACTTGGACCTGAGTGTTGAGACATTTGGAGACATCTTGTCTCCTAACATCATGAACTGACACATTTTAATATTGCAGCAAGAATTTCTTGTTCAAGTTCAGAAAAAGTTGGTTTTCAAAGTTTTTCGAGTCCAATCTGGCTCTTTTGGGAGAGAGAATCTGTCCTGCTGTACTGAATAATCTTTCAATAATCTTTCAATAAGGCCATGGGTGGTGCGTATCTTCTGGCTGACTCTCCGTGATGGAATTGATTTTGGGTGTGTTAGTGGTGCTGTGGGTGCACCCAGCTCTATGACGTATATACTAGAATAAACGTCATTGGTCCAGCTCTTCTTGAAGGCGGGTCTAACATTACCTGCCCACTTTGCAGTGCAAGTAGGTATCTCTGCAGACAAATACGTAAAGCGGATCTGGATGGCCACATCTGATTGGACAATAAGAAAAAAGGCGTTTGACAGCTGATACAACGCTGTTTCTTAGAAACCTTCAGTTTAAAAGAGGACATAACTTTCCTAAAGAGCCAGTAAATAGAGCTAACCAATCTGTCTTTGCCCTCTAGAAACATCTATTCTCCAGAAGCGCCCACTTTTGGTCTGCAGAGAACCCCTTCTCTTGCAGTGATTCAATGGACCAACTAAAATTTGTATGATCCAGAGTGCAGTAGCTTTAATATGGCAGCGATCCACTTCAGGGTTGACCTTGCGCAGACTAGCTGTTAGCACAAGAACAGCACTTCATTCCTGTCAGGATTGAACTCTGTTTCTCCAAACTGAAGACTGATCAGCCACAGGTAAGATTAACTGTACATATCCTTCCTACCAAACATTCAAAAGATCTGAATTATTCCTTTAGGTCAAACATTGGCAAAAAAAAAACAACAACATACAAACACACCTGTTCTTATAAATAAAGCATCACAATTAAAACACTGCTGCACAATAATGCCTTTACTTTTAGTGGAGGAAACTACACTCTCAGCGCTTCATAATTTGAACCAGGATCCAGGTTATTATGAATGAGGTGGCAAACAGAACCGTTGCGTTCACCAAAGTATCCACAGTGTGCATGCATCTAGTTGCACAATTAACCGGCCACTGACAGGTGGCTTCCATCTTTCTGCCTGTAGAATAATGGCCTTGTCATGGGTGGATAATAGGGTCAGAGCACTAGACTGCCTTGCACATACAGTAAACACACACATGTGCCTGGCCCTGGTTCAAATCAGCCAAACCTCTTGTGGTGTATTCAATTAGACAATTAGACCAGTCTCCGCTCCACATACTGAAATATCTGCTGAAGTAACAACTATTTGCTTCTTATATATTTTGAAGTTACCTCCATTATCCGTGACAAAAAACAACAACAACAAAAATGCTATAATTAGGTGTCAATGTTGTAGTAAATGTTGAAAATGTGAATTTAAATGGCTATAATTAAATAAGTGTACAGTGGTGTACAGGATTGTTTGTAGCTTTCTAGGAAATGAGCATCAAAAGTAAAAGTAAACTCATTAATGAAGTCTTAACAGTAAATCTAGAGGCCATTACTCCTTTTCTTTACAACAGTCACCCTCCCACTGGAATCCTCAGATGGAGCATCATCCAGCCATACGGCTGACAAATCCTGCTCTCTGCTCTTGACTGAAGATGAAGTCGGAGACTAATAGCAGCCACAGCCTCTGAGCTATTGCACAGGGGGCAGTGATCTGCGGCGCAGCGCCATCCTCAAGCAGAACTCTTAAAAAACCCCTGTTGGTGCTGAGTCGGTAACTAAAACAGCCAGGGGGGCATTTCTTTCCCCTTAACAGCCACAGTGGGGGCATGTTCCCCAATAATGTGCTGCCATTAAAAATAAATGGGCTCTCATGCTAGAGGAAAGTGGGAGAATTCAACAAGATAAAAACAGGTTCTTTTAAAGCAAAGGAGTTGATGTAGAGTGTGTTACCGCACCTGTAAAATACGATCCCCCTCTCGGATGCGTCCATCTCTGGCAGCAATACTGTTTGGACAGACCTGTTGAATAAAAATGCACAAAATAATGCATTTTAAAATGGTTTATTATGTAGTAATAAACAGTTTATTTAAAGAAAAGCCATCATCTAGATGCATATTAGTTAGTTAGTTTCTGTTTCCAGAAATCTGAAATAAACTGGACTCATGTTCGTGCTGCTGTTCGGTGTAATGTTTTTGTACTACAAGTGCTTAGCGTATGTTTAGTTAACAAGTTTCTTAGTTCATATCTTTGATCTTATTACTGTTTTACTTTTACATTTTATACTTTTGTTGGATGTAACTGGAACCCAGTGTACATAATTTAGTTCCACCACATGTACCTACCACATGTGGTGCGGATGACAAATAAAGAAACTTTGACTCTGACTCTCTGACTCTGAATCGTTTTCAAACACATTTGGAAATTAGTCAAAATCCACGATAAAATAGAATTATCAAGGTTATCACAAAAGTTCTCTGTTTTGCCTGTTTTTCTTTATGGCAAGTTGATTTAGCACAATTATCCAGCCTGTAATTTAACCGTGGCATGTGATGCACCTGCTCTTCCTGTGACTAATGCTAGTCAACAAGAGGGCAGGACATGCTTTCTTAGAACAATCAGCTTGTGTTTGAGGTCATTTGTTCCACTTTCTCCTCGCAGACTCACTGGAACTCTGCAGTCACTGAGACGCAGCGACACTCCATCTTCATGATAGTTCACTTCCACACAAAACAAAACACATTAAACAGGGTGCCAGGTCCCTGCACAGGAATGGGTTAAAGGCAGGAAAAAATAGAGGACACAGGGTGTAAAGGTTCCAGTTAGGAAGTGAGTCTTCAATGTCTAATAAGGTTCAGTCAGGTCCTCTGGACAGATTCTTCTTGTTGAAACGTTTCGTCCTTTAGGGTGTTTTCACACCTGATAGTCCGGTAGACTCGGTTTGATTGGGGACCAATATTCAGAACATTTTGTTTTACATTTTCAGCTGGTGCGGTTCACATTCACACTAAGTCAGTCGAGCCAACCTGTTCCCCCCCTCGCCTGTGGTGGAGCTGCACCAAGAACTACTGAAGGAAACAACAAGAAAACCTCTGAAGAAGACACTTCTTCTTCTTTTTCTGGAAGTAAAAACAAAAATGGAGTGGCATCAAATTTAAGAGGTTTTAGGATTTCAGGTTAGTCATTTTTCAACAATGGACTCAGCATGAGCAGAAGACCATGAAGAATGTTGTTTTTCACACAAGGCAGCTGAGACGGCTCCGTATGAGGTAAGAGAAATGCACATTTGTTTACCCTGCACTGTGGTCAACTTCCTGTTTTTGGAGCGGTCTCCGGTCCGCTGGCATTCACACTGCATTAGAACCGCGGTAGAGTTCACTTCAACAGAACCAAGACCTAGGATTTTAGGTGGACCAGAGTTTGCTTATTTGGTCCGTATCAGAGTTTGATTGCGCGTTCACACCTCCCCAAACAAACCGGACTTTCTAGGCAAATGGACTAGAGTTCTATTAAAACAGACTAAACAGGGCTGGTGTGAATGCACCCTTAGTGTGCATTCACACCAGCCCTGTTTAGTCCGCTTTAATCGAACTCTAGCTCGTTTTCCTAGAAAGTCCGGTTCGTTTAAGGAGGTGTGAACGCGCAATCTAACTCTGTCACGGAACAAAAAGGCGAACTCTGGCCGGGGCTAAAACCCTTGTAGAAGAGAACTCCAGCGTGGTTCGAGTACAGTGTGAATGTAAACAGACCGGACCCTGCTCCGCAGGGTAAACAAACACACATTTCTCTGACCTTATATGGAGCCGTCAGCTGCCTTGTGTGAAAAACAATATTCTCCATGGTCTTCTGTCTCATCTTCTGCTCATGCTGAGTCCATTTTTGAAAAATGACAAAATATAACTCCTAAAACTGCTAAAACTTGATGCCACTTCGTTTTTATTTTTATTTACAGAAGAAGAAGAAGACGTGTCTTCAGAGGTTTTTGTGTTGTTTCTTTCAGTAGTTGTTGGTGCAGCGCCCCCACAGGCGAGTGGGGTAATAGGTTGTTTCAACACGTTGACTCGACTGCACAGTGCAGTGTGAATGCAAACGCACCAGCTCAAATGTAACAAAAGCTCATGAATATTGGTCCCGAACCGAACCGAGTCTACCGGACTATCTGGTGTGAAAACGACCTTAGACAGCGGTCATTATTTCAGGGATGAAGATGTTCCAGTCCTTGATAGAGAGGAACAATGGTTTGAGAGAGGAGTGAAGGAAGCCATCTGAGAGAACACATCCATCATTAAACGGGGCGGAGCCCTCCATGTCCAAATGTCCCCCCTCTTACAATTCTGTTATTGTTAGTATAATTTCAATTGTTGACTGGTCGTTAGTCTGATGGTCCTCCTTAATCATGTGAACAGCTAGTTCTGGCTGTCAACAAACTGGTTGATCCACTATGAGAAGGTGCTATTTATAAGACTGAGTTTGTTGCAGCTCCTCAGACTGAAGAAGTTATTTGGAAAAAAGACAAAACATTTCAACAAGAATAATCCGTCCAGAGGACCTGACTTAACCTTGTTAGATTTTTCTACCTGGATTATTGATCACGCATCAGGATATTCTTTGTTGAAACGTTTCATCTTTTATCCGAAAGACTTTTTCAATCTGAGGCGCTACAAGCTCCTCATAGTTTTCAGTGGTTGAGTTTTCCTTGAGTTTTCAATGGTTATTCAACTATCCGTTGAAGATAATGTAGTGCTTATGTAACTTTATACCTTCCTGCGTAAAGTTTGTCATCTTTGAAATTGAACACGTATAACTACAAATGGAAGTTTATCAGTTATGAAACAATCTTGTATCTGTACCTCACCTGTGATTTGAATGTATAACATGTCTTGTATTGTATGGAGTGACATTCAGCCACTTTTATTTTATTACATCACACTCTTAGGTAGTTTTTCTGTTTTGTTTTAAGAAAATAAACCTTGAAGGATCATGGCCAAAAACTCACTGATCAGTAGGATTTATATTCTGCTCAGCTCTCAAAGCACACGTCTTTCATGGTCTGAGACGACTTCGAGTACATTTTGTGGAGAGCTGTGCAGAATGATGAACAGTCACAACTTCTAAAAAGTTGTAAGAAAAAAAAACAATAAAACAAAAAGCAAGGCTTGCTTTTATCCGAGCCTGCTTGTTCTCAGGTGCGCTGACGCACGCTGAATAACACATCACACCATAAAAGACTCTCTTTCTTTTATGTCTTTTTTACTTTGCCTCGGCGATCATCTCACTTCGCCAACTTATGGTGTAATCAAGCGGTTAGATCATCTGTTCACTATTGTGATTTATGTTTCATGAAACTTTAGGTTTGAAGTACTGCTACCAACTGAGAAACTTGCTTTGCTCAAATGAATACTAAAGTAAATAATAAATTACACAATAAGTATTAAATGTCAACTGATTTTATACTGAGGAATGCGACAAATCTCAGTTGTGAAAACATTTCACGGGGGCCCTCTGATCTAGAAAGATGATGATTGTTGGTTTCTACAACAGAGAATGAAATGTAAATGAGAAACTTCAAAGGAACCAATTGTCAGTAGAAAATGCACAGAGCTGCGGGAACATTAATACTTTCCATTTTTGAAACAGCTAGCAATCACAGCTTTGGTGGTTGGCAGAAGAACAGCAAGAAGAGAAATAACATATTTTCCGTGCACTTTCAGGAACAATGGAGAGTGGTAACAGATAAAGAAGTATTACTTTGTGTGCAAGCATTATAACTTTTCATTTATTCACTAATCTCTTTTTAAGACACTTAGAGCTACATGGTCAACATTGAGCAGTAAAAGTTTTAGTATATTCATTTTCAGAATTTTGTGTTATGAGCATCTGCTGCTGAGTTGCACCGCAGTGATTCTGACATCTGTAGAGAGCAGTACTTTGCCTTGTGTGGTTGTTAACAAAAAGCAATGTGCATACCACAAATACTATACACTACATTATTACACTTCGCAGTTCATCAGAGGGCCATAATAGTAGATTTGGTTGTGCTCTTAAACCGTGGACAATAAAACATTTATTGCACAATTTGCATATAAAAACAAACTGTAACAAACTTGTACTTTTTTTTTTGTCTCCACTGAACCTTATCTTACATATGATGTCCATATAGGACTTTGTTTTTGAAAGGGACTATTGAGAACATTACACTATTTTTGCCTTTAAACTGTTGTGCACCAACCAAAATGTCTAATCTATTTATATTATAAGAACATGTTTCTTACATAACAGTACTAAGGAATTATGAGAGTAGGAGAGATCATATCTCTTTAGTTTTAGCTTCTCTCTATTGGCTCCCTGTCAAATTCAGAATAGAATTCAAAATCTTACTTCTAACCTACAAAGCTCTCAACAACCTAGCTCCATCTTACAAAGTATATTACAGATCTTATTGTTCCATATTTTTCTAACAGAGCACTTCACTCTCAGACTGCAGGTTTACTGATGGTTCCTAGAGTTTCCAAAACCAGAATGGAGGAAGATCTTCCAGTTCTCAGGCTCCTCTCTTGTGGAATCAACTTCCAGGTTTTGTCCATGAGGCTACCTTGTCTACTTTGAAGATTAGGCTTAAGTCTTTCCTTTTTGATAAATCCTATAGTTAGGGTATGCTTGGGTTTTCTGAGCTTTCCCTTGGTTATGCTTAGACTGTTGGAGGACACACTGACCACATTTCTTCACTCTTACGCTGACTGTACTTGCTCTGCTCTACCTGTTTTGCATTTCTACATGTTTGTATTTGTAGTTATTTCTATCTTAGCATGTTTTTTTTGTCTTTCCTCCTATAGAAAGTACACCTGGGCCTGTCATTCTGTGCTCGTTTGCTCCTTCCTGTCCTCTCAACCGCTTGTCCTGAGCCTGGTTCTGCTGGAGGTTTATTTTATTATTTTAACTTTTGTATTTGTATGATTTAACTGTAATATATTTGTGTAAGGTGTTCTTGAGTGTTTTGAAAGGCACCGATACATAAAACGCATTAAAACAATTTGATAAAGTTTTTATATTTTATTTTCAACTTGCCTATGATTTATCAACACATGTTGCTTTGGACAGTCTTACCAGTATGAGACATAAAGCAACTATTGTTTATTCATAAAATTTTAACTGTTGAGTATATAAAAGAGTATTACATCAGTGACTTTTAGCATGGAGGTCGCATGTTACAGCCAACTGAATAATCCAATAAACCCCACAACAGCTGGTGTTTGGTATGACTGATTCGGGATAAACTTTACAGTGCAACAAGTCCAACTGTGTGAAAGATGACTCTCTGTTCATGCAAACAGCTGTGATGATAAACATGATGTTAAACATTTGAAATGTTTGTCAGTGTCCAACAGAGGAGTTCCTGTACTCACTTCACTGACATAGATGGCCACGTCCTCTTCCTCGTCTGTTCGATAGCACAAAGTGAGCCCTAATTTTTCTTGACTGCTGAGTCGACAGAGCTCAATTTCCTATAGATAAATGGAAAATACAGGAGTGTAAAAGAAGAAGCCAACTGCTGGGACTGAAAACTTCAAACGACTAAACAAACTTTTCATCATGCAATAAGAGTGGCTATAAAAACGATAAGAAGCTGCTCCACCGAAGATCACACACAGATTTTAGGTAGTGTTTCCTTTTGTGTGCTTTCTTTTTGAGCTGGACAGTGTTTGATCATGAAAAACTGGCTTTACTTGCAAGAGTTTAGCTGAAGGTGTTTTGATAAATGTCTGTCAACATCCAGAGGTTTCCATTTTTATCTTTCAACTTATAGCATGAGGGCAGCACGGTGGCGCAACTGGTAGAGCTGCTGCATCTCAGCAAGCAGGTCCCTGGTTCAAATCCCGGTCTGGGGGCCTTTCTGGGTGGAGTTTGTATGTTCTCTCCGTGCATGCGTGGGTGTTTTCCAGGTACTCTGGTTTCCTTCCACAGACCAAAAACCTGTATGTTAGACTGACTGGTAACTCTAAAATTGTCCCTAGGTGTGAATGAGGGAGTGAATGGTTGTTTGTCTCGTTTGTCTCTATGTGTCCCTGTGATGGACTGGAGACATGTCCAGGGTGTACCCCGCCCCTCACACAGTGATTGCTGGACATGGGCACCGGCGCCCCCCGTGACCCAAAATGGAAGAAGCGGGCAAAGATAAAGGATGGATGAATGGAACTTATAGAATGATGCTAGATGTATGTGCTGCAGAGGAGTTTTTTTTTCTTCTGGTAAGGCAATATTAACAACAAGTTTTATTCATGTTTTATTGAGTCTTTTTTACTTTTACCTTCATCTGTTGGTTTGGACTTTTGACATGCAAAACCAGGAACAAACTCTTGGAGATTGTCAGAATGTGAAGCAAAACTGCTGGCATAGCTCTACAGAACCTCACTAACCTACAGAAGGAGAGGTCAGTGAACAAGGCCAGGCAGATTCTGGCAAATCCTGATCACCCACTCCATGGTGAGTTCTGGTTGCTTCCATCTGGACGCAGGTATCTGCAGCCCAGATGTAGAACGAACAGACCGAAAAACTCATTTATCCCTGGAGCGATCAGGCTTCTCAATGAACAGAGATGATTTTTGTTATTTTAATGCTTCAATGTCTTGTGTAGTATGGATGTTTTATACCCACTGACTGTGAAACTAACTGTCCCTCAGGGATAATGAAGATACTTGAACTTGAACAAAGTGATAATTGTGGGATGTTTGTGTCTACCAGGATTCTTCATTTTAGTATTTGAATGCAATAGATATGCTATGAGACTTCTGAATTAAGCAATTTTGTTCAATTTTATCTGCGGGATTAATATAGTTCTAACTTATCGTATCTTATTGTTTTACGTTGTTTTATCCTCTGAGCTTCCCTAAATTTAATGTTCAGAATCTCCTTTCCTGCAACTTTGCACTTTCAGTTTACCACAACAGATGTAGCCAAACACCACAAGCACCACCGACCTGCACCCTATTTCAAACCTGAAACATGTCAAGGGGTGTTTGAGAGAATCAAGTGTGAAATGGCCTCCACCTCCCAAGGTCTTCATTAGAGCAGAAACACACCGTCTCTTAGCTGCAGGAGCGAAGTGGTTGAGTGGAGAGGAGGATGGAGGATGGAGAAAGAAATGAGGTGGCAGCGAGGACTGTGGCGGGGCTCGCAGGGGTCTTGCACATAAAAAAAAGAGGTTCATTTTGTCCGTGACAAGTGCAGGCTGGCTGGTTACATGTGTTAGATGTAGCGTGGCTTTGGGAAGGGGAATGGAGTAGGGGAAGGGGTGAGATGAAAGAAAAATGGGGGGAAAGGCCACTACCTGGCGCCTAGGTTTGCATTTTTTGCTGCTTATGCTCAAGTTTCTCCTCACACACATTCAAAGCTTCATTAACATTTTCTCATGCTCTCGTTTTACGTGTATAACTTGGGTTTTAATACAGACTCTGATAAATCATTTAGATGTTTTCAGACTCAGCTCCTGCAGCTGCAGAGCTAAATGCCCCCGCAGATGAGCTAAATCTCCGTTCATGAAAAAGAATCCCTGCTTTTTTAAAATATGTACAAACCTTTTACTTACAAGCACACTTCAAATAACAGAGTAGGAGAACGATATCATGAGTGTCGCTTCATCATATTTTGACAACCTTCACCTGGCGTGGAGTTTATATTTTTATCTGACTGCCTCACAGGCTGACGACTTCAAATTCCAGCTGATGAATGAGAGGACGACGTGATGCTGACAAACCTAACAGAGTTGCTTTTCCCTAACTGCTTTTAAAAATGTTTTTTAATTGTCAGCGTAGAAACATTTGTTGCAGCGCTTCACTTCCAGAAGCGCCAGCAGTGTGGTCGCAGTAGGAGCCAGTGCGTTTGTTTCATGCTGACATGACGTGTGAAAATGTGGGATATCGGTGGGAGATACTGAAATCACAAGCAAAAGTCGCAGAGACATTTCTAAAAATAAACTGCACAAATTAACTGCTGCGAGCGAGGCAAAGAGGAGGTGTGAGCAGGTGCTGCACGAGCCCTTATCAGCAAAACAAGCCTAAAGTTACTTACAGCTCATTAATGATTGCATTAGTATGAAGATCTGTTTTCAAATTATCAGAAAGAAACAAAGAAAATTGCACAGAATGTGAGCCTTTCTTCTGTCTCAGAAGCGTTTGAGCTTTCATGCTTTAAGAAAATATATAAAAAAATCAAAAACACCCACTCGCTCAGATGCCTCTGTAAAAGGCTGCTGTCTCCTGAACCATCAAAAACACATTCACCAATCTCAGTCTCTCATCTCGCCCTTTTGATTTTCCCCCTGCTCTGTTTTCCCAGCAAGCTCTCTGCCTCTCAGGCAGGAGATTGTGGAGCGGCACGGGGACAAGAGCTGACAGTAAATTAATGACTGTGATGGCATGATTAAGAGGAAGATTGCTGCCCGCCATCAAAGCACATTGGATTCTGTCATAATAATCACGCCTTTGATTACCGGTAATTGAAAAAAAGCTGTTGCAAATGTGTTGATGGCTAGCATGGAGGCAAAGAGAGGAAACCCATTTTCAAGCTTGGAGTTCTTCACTTCCTCAGAACTCATCAAAACTAATCAAAGAGATGGTACCTAACATGGTCCTGAGGCGGCCCGCACATCAAGCGTTCTGCAAGAAAAGCCCACGATGTTAGGCTGTGAAATTTCAGCCATAAGACATGGCTTTTGTAGTCCAACAATCCGGAAGATCAAAAAGAAAAAAAAAAAATTTAATTCACTCATGGTGGGAGATAAATTCATGCTCCACAAAAAAAATTAAATTAGACTTTTGACTCCATAAAGTGTTTCCATTTTGCATCCCTTTTTTGTCCACCATATTCCAAAAAACAGGACTCACTTTATATTTTTTAATGAATTCAGTCTGAGTTTATTAAGCGATTTCGCCTCGCTGTTAATGGAGTCACTCATAAAAAGAGAAGAAAAAAACACCAAGTGTTTCAAAATGAGCATGCAGCTCAGGCTCATGAGTAGAAGTTTCTTCCAGAAAATGAGCGATTGAGGCAACAATCATGACCAAGTTTCAGGTTGTCAAAATCTTTCCCTTTTTATTCCTAATAAAGCACGACCTAAACATCACCTTGATATTGTGTGCAGCTCTTGGCTCTAAATTAAAAAAAGCTTTGAGAAATTTCAACATCATTGTGCGGTGCACGGTGGAAGGACATAAATGCAGTCTCACAGGAGGCAGCAGCCAAACAGGCTGGATGGCTGAATAATTAAAGCAAACATTTAACAAAATCTATAAGGTACGATTCAAGGAAAGCAACAGGAAACCAGAGAACTTGACAGAATCTAACAATGACCTGAGGAAACCAGGGGGTATATGCACAAGGATTGGTTGTTGTACACTGTGAGTGGACACAGGTGTGTTGCATTATACTGTAGTGCAGGTACAGTTAGGTAGAAGCTGTGAGGTTAGGGTACTCAGACCATCTACTGGCAAAAACTACAAGTACAAGCAAAACTAAACAGGTAACTGTAACAGGTCTCTCTTGTAAATGAGTTCTCATGGCTCAGTGAGACTAACCTGTATAAATAAAGGTTGAATGAAAAAATCTAAACTGAATAACATGATCCAATTTACAGTAAAAAAAAAGAAGAGCATTAATGGAGTTTAGTACAACACAAAACTAAAAACTTGTGCAAAACTCAAACTGGGAGTCAAACTGACCCAGCCTAACACTGAGGCCTTAACATACAGGGAATGATTTTGACCTTGACTTCCGGTAAGATGGCGCCCATGTACATGGTGTTTGGATTATTTTTGTTTTGTTCGTTTTTTTATCTGTGATATAGACTCACTACTGATGTATGACCGACAACAGCTTCTGGATCTTCGTTTTTCTGTCATCGATGTCGCTTATTTGGAACAATATGAGCGTTCCTCTGGCCCCCCCCCCCCCCCCCTCTGCTGGCAGACGTGCCAGCTTACCTCCGCTGCGCTCCTCACCTCCATGCCCGGAGACATCGCTTCAGACGCCGGGGAAAACGTGCTGGGCGGCTGGTAAAGCTTAAAGCCATGCGCACTGCATCTTCCTCTTCAGCTGGTGGTCATGGTTTCCATCGCTAGCTTCCCGCGTGCCCAGACCAGATAAACAACGGGAGTTGTCAGCCGGTGCACAGCTCGGACCGACCCGGAGGGGCTGTTATTGAAAACCCGAGGCCACTGGCGCGCGCGAACTTCACCACTGCTGGCTCCACTTTGGACAGTATTCGGATGTGTTTGGTCAATGCAAAATCTGTAACCAACAAAACTTTTATTCTCAGGGACTACTTTCAAGAGTATGAGTTGGACTTTTACTGCATCACAGAGACTTGGATGTCTCCGGGTGAGTCCAGCGCCTCGACGGAATTATTGCCACCGAACTGTCTGTATTTTAACGCCCCGCGGCCATCAGGCCGGTGCGGTGGTGGATTATTAACAATATTCAAATCAACTTTTGACTCTAAACAACTGCC